TTTTTTTTTTTTTTTTTTTTTGTTTTTTTTTTTTTTGGGTGGGGGGGGGGGAGGGGGGGGGGGGGGTGGGTGTAAAGAATTTGTGAAATGTTTAGATTTATTTTTTATATTTATTCAAATCACCCCCTGTAATCACTCTATCAATTAACGGTAAACTTTTTGCCTCATCATTTCTTAGCAGCCGTAAATTTATCTGTACAATAATCAAGCTGACTGAGCTGTCATCACAGGGATTTTAATTGATTATCCTGTAATACTAAAAAAAAACTTGTATAAAATTTGGAAAGCAATTTTTATTCCTTAATTGTATACTGCCATTATATGTTATGGTTATAGTTATGTTACCAACTTCGCACAACTGTTATATAGGCTCATCACAGTTTGTGACAGACTGCCTTACAGAGTATTGAATACTCTTACCAATGTATCTATTAATGACATCTGCTTGGCTATTTCGGTCGGTTAAAACCCAACAGGATTTTAGTTATTATTTTTCTTATGTAGACTATGTATGGAATTTTGTTTGTTTTTAAAATTGTATATTTACAGGAAATAAAATTACATTAGAAATAATGAGGATGAAATTATAAGGTTGAATAGTTTTTTTAAATATCTGGTCATCCGAGAATAAACTGATCTAGTTTCTTTCAAGGAAAAGCACAACTGAGTTTAAATCACTACCCAACTACAACTTTCCCTTGAAAGTTTTTGATCTCACGTAGGCCTGTTATTTTTGTAAAATCAATGTGTAGTTATAGACTTTGCTGCACGGCTGAGATACTCCATTTATTTTAATTTTGAATGTTAATCTGTTACTAACTGTGGTCCAACTGTGGAGGTCAGACTCTGAATATGGATCAACGTGCAAATGGTGCATAAAAAAAACCCAAGAGTAACCCTGTCCGGAGCTGATGGACATTTAAAACCTCATTGTTGTTGGGTTTGTTGTTGACTGAGATGTTTATGGCAGAACTGGAAAAGACCTGGGTTTGGCTGAGGTTAATTCATGGACAAAGTAATTAAAGAACAAGGGAATTAAAAAAAAAATTGATCCCTTCAAACATTTCTGATAATTTTACATATCCTCCCCCTTCCAAAATTAAGTTAGTGCCTGCTTATTAGAATAAATTGCCTGCATCTTGTCAACAAATATTTTGGATGAGTTTAATTTTTTTAAATGTGTTTATTTTTTCCTCTTGTGGGACATAGTTATTTTTATCTGTTGTTGAATCACCTTGTAACCGATATGATCTTGTTGCTATCCTACACTTGTAGTATCCCGGTGGTAGTAATTTCTGACTTTTGTTATTCATTGAAACGTAAACGTACCATCACAAATACAAGTTTTATACAGAGCCTTGTATTAGTTGTATGCCCTCCAGTAATTGTTGAACGTACCATTGTTGTTTATTTTTTTTTTACTTTGATTTGGCTATACCTCTTTTTGAGCACACATTTTTTTACTGCGCACTTAAACTTACATTATTTTTCATATTTACTACATATTTTAAAAAAGGGTAACGGTAATATTAATCTGTTTGGTGATGTCAATGAGTTTCATAACAATTGTTACACTATTGTTACTGTATCGTAACCAGCAGCTTGCAGGGAACCAGCTGTGATACAATGGTTAATAAAGGGACGGTCAGAAAAAATTGTTTGAATGTTTCTTTTCTTTTATTTTTTAATATATTATTTTTCAGTTGAACTTTGGAAAGGTGGATCAAAAGGTGGATCAAAGATTTAAATGATTTCATTTTTATTTTATATGAAGCTCCCACACCTTTAAGTGATCTCAAATATACGCAGTCTAAATCAGGGGTGGCCCACCTCCACCCGCTGGCCACATTCCACAGCACATACAGCAAGCCTGATTGCTTACAGATAAACTTATTCCTTCTTTCATTCATTTGACTGAGAAAGCTTGATTGAAAATATATTGGTGAGCGAAAAGTTCAGATGCTATCACAGGTGTTAGTGTTGACCCTTTAAAAAATTTTTTAACATTTGATTATGTTCATTAGGAATAGGTTCAACATTGCTGTACAGAATTAACTGGGATTTTAGTTTAATATCTTTGACATGAGGTGCGCTGACACGCAGCCCGGGAATAGTTTATTGGCTATCAAAGTGGGCCGGGAATCCTTTTTGGGTCGGCCACCCCTGGTCTAAATGCAATCATTTTAAATAAATGGTCATTTTAAATTTATGCAATGAATTTTCTCCTCTTGCAAGACTTGTTTTGATTGTTGAGATTTCCGGTAGCCATTCGTCTGCTCGTGTCCTTCTTCCTGTTTGTTGACCCCTTTCCACTGCACTGTACTGAAGTGATCATGTAGTCTGGTGTGAAGTGTATTCTTTCTTACTCATTTCACCTCTAGCACCACCAACCTCCGCACCACTGTACCAAAGGACAATCTTCTTCTTCTTCTTCTTCTATATCTTAAGGGCCCACGATCAATTTATTGATCATTTTGGCTCCTATGCATCTATTTGTATGATGTTTGCGGTTGCAAGACCTACTTTCATCATATCAGCCTATTTATATAGTTTGACTAACATCTATGCAGACATCTTCTCAGACAAATGTACCAGTTCGAAGACCCTGTTTGAGTATCTCTTAGTTAACAACAGCTTATTGAAGGAGATACTAATGGAATCTATGTCATCCTGCTACCCAATTCACAAAGGATAGAGGCAAACTGCAGAGGAAGCGAGGGGTTGTTCAATCCCTGAGATATGATGGGAACCAATTAAGATGGTAAAGTATATAGCCTACATTCCAACCCTGTAAGATACATCCCAACCCTGTGAGATACATTCCAACCCTGTAACATATATTGCAACCCTGTAAGATACATTCCAACCCTGTAAGATACATTCCAACCCTGTGAGATACATTCCAACCCTGTGACATATATTGCAACCCTGTAAGATACATTCCAACCCTGTGAGATACATTCCAACCCTGTGACATATATTGCAACCCTGTAAGATACATTCCAACCCTGTAAGATACATTCCAACCCTGTGACATATATTGCAACACTGTGAGATACATCCCAACCCTGTGAGATACATTCCAACCCTGTGACATATATTGCAACCCTGTAAGATACATCCCAACCCTGTGAGATACATTCCAATCCTGTAACCCTGTGAGATACATCCCAACACTGTGAGATACATCCCAACCCTGTGAGATACATCCCAACCCTGTGAGATACATTCCAACCCTGTGAGATACATCCCAAACCTGTGAGATACATTCGAGCGTGAAAAAATATATAATTTACTAATCATCCCAATATTTTACAGATACAATTTTCAAAATATACTTAGAAAGCTATAAAAAAAACATAACAAATTTACGTACAGATACGAATATATCTTTTATGGCTTTGATGCTAGAAACTATTTAATAACATTATTTTTTATTATATAACGCTCTCAAGAAGAGAAGAAAAAATCAGGCCGGAAACCGGGCAGACTTAAGTAGTCACAAAATTCTCCAAGTAAAAACATGACAAGAAAACAAAGAAAACTATACATAAAACTGTAATCAGACCAGCTGTAACAAACGCAAGTGAAATTTGTAGCCTAGCAAAAACGTCAGAAAACCTATTTAAAAATGGGAGTGAAAAGTTCTCCAACAAAGGATGAATAGGGATGGAGAATACGAACCAACCAGGAATTGTATGGACTATTTCAGGACCCCACGCTAGTGGCAGAAATAAAAAAAAAAAAAGTGGAGGCAGGCTACGAATTAATACAAGTTGTGTAGAGGTCAATGTCAATTTTTTTAAAGACTTGTAGGTACGTTGTGTTGACATGCACGCACTAAAGGCCGATGCACACAATAATTTATGAATCCTGAATCCTCTAATACTGAGTAAAACCATCCATTGGATGCTGGATTCAGAGTGATTTCTGCATGGGTCGTCATGAAAAGGCCATCTATTTTGATAACCTGTCACTGTAGGGACTGACTGGAAGTCAGTTAATAGAATGTCAGTTAATAGAATGTCAGTTAATAGAATGATTTCAGTTCATAGAATGATGGCAGTTCATAGAATGGTGTCAGTTCATATAATGATGTCAGTTAATAGAATGATGTCAGTTCATAGAATGGTGTCAGTTCATAGAATGATGTCAGTTCATAGAATGATGTCAGTTCATAGAATGGTGTCAGTTAATAGAATGATGTCAGTTCATAGAATGATGTCAGTTCATAGAATGATGGCAGTTCATAGAATGGTGTCAGTTCATAGAATGATGTCAGTTGATAGAATGATGTCAGTTCATAGAATGATGTTAGTTAATATAATGGTGTCAGTTCATAGATTGATGTCAGTTGATAGAATGATTTCAGTTGATAGAATGATGTCAGTTCATAGAATGATGTCAGTTCATAGAATGATGTCAGTTAACAGAAAGATGTCAGTTAATTTTTTGGAAGTGATAGGGTAAGCATACGTCTACCCCCTCAACTTATCAGCATATAGAATGAAGTTCGCCCTAGGGGAACAATCTATCACGCACAATCAGGGACGTGTAAATGGAAAGCTGCGCCAGGGGCTAAGCCTTAAAATGGCGCCCCTCCCCCCCAACCAACCCTTTCAGTAATAAAGGATATACGCTATGCCGACACACACACACGTTCATTTATTTTGATGTTT